ACATTTCAGCAGCTCCGTTCCATGTGTGTGTATGTGTGTGTGTGTGTGTGTGTGGTTGGGGCATAGCGCGTGCCTTTTGGCGTCCCTGTGGTAGGTAGCTGTTGCACACACAGAGGCAGCACAGAGGCAGCAAGCACTTGTACTCGTACTCCCCCACTCGTACACTCATCCAGGCTGCTCCTCTTGCATTGCATCGCATCGCATCGCATATGCATAGAAGCATAGAAAGAAATGTTTACCTTATATTACCGCTATGCAGTCGGACCAGAGTCTGGCACTGCCACTGCCCCACTGCCATGTAGTGAGTGGGTGGAGGATTCTGTGTCGGAAAACTTTGTCATTTAGTTAGGTGTAAGTTAGTTTTTTGGCTTAGCCGGGCAGGCAGCAGTAATGCTGCAAACACTTTAAGCAGAGACCGAACGTGGCCGGAAGGCGTGAGGCATGCAGAGAGGACGAGCCATGGCCAGAGTGCTGCTGCATGCCAAGGAAGGGTGTACCACATGGAGTTACCTTAATTTAGTGCAGTTTGCAAAATGTGCGTACGTGTAGAAAGAACCAGACACCAGACACCAGGCACACACATACCCACCTCCATAAGGGAGAGGACTGAGACTGAGACTGAGAGTGAAGTTAGTTGGGCCCCAAAGTTGACTCTACATTAAATCAAACACTTGGCGAAACATATGATCAGAAAAGTTGCTAAAATACACCACTTCCCTGCCACTTCTGCTGGAGGAGTCATGGAAATGAGGCCGGCCGGGCATAGGGAAATGACTCAAACGAAGGACGAGGACGAGGACGAGAACGAGGGCCAAGCCGTGGACGATTGCCATGGCGACGGTGAAGCCGGAGTAGCATTTTGAACGAGTAACGTCCTGAAAGATTGTTCCTGTCAGCGGTTTATAGTTTCACTCATGAACATGAAACATTTAATGGACTGCCAGATGGATGCATCAGCCTTGCATCGGCTGAACATTTCTTGTAACTTCTTTTCAACTGTCACAGTAAGTAATTGTTAATTTTTGCTGGATTTGGTGTGCGATTACTTACTCCTTCGGATTAACAACAATAAATCATCAGCTTTATTAGGGAGGGGGTGGGTCTCTTGCGCGAATTTACTATCCAAAGATATTGCCCCACTGCCACACTGCCACACTGCCACACCCAATCTATGACGATTAGCATTGCGCCTATTGCCACGCCCAAGGCAAGCGGGGAGGCAGGGGTGTCACCTGAAACACTTGGGGCCATGCTGATTATTTTCTACTTTGCGACATTTAAAGCGGGCTGCGAGGCCCGGGGGTCGGGGTCGGTTCGAGCGCTGTGTGGCATGTGCCTGTGTCAGCAACAGCTCAGCCGCGACGTGGCATGGCGCGTGTAAGGCAACAGAAAATCGATTAACATGGCTTTAATAGCCTCTCTCACTCCCTCCATGTTGATGCTGACAATGGCGTGGGGGGCAGACGCTACAAACTTTTCCACGCTTCAGAGAGGCAAATCCAAGTCCGCCTCCTCCTACTTCCGGTGTAAATGGGACAGCATCTGGGGCGGGGCGGGACGACGTGGGTGGTACTTTGGGTGGTATTAATTGTGACAGATTCGAGATTGAGCCACGAACCTGATTTTGTTTTAAAGTTGCCCTTAAAGTGCGCCACCCGAAAGACATATTGATGCGCTCAGAGAGGGGGTCAGATGGGTCAGAGGCCAGAGGTCAGAGGGAAGCGAGCAAATGGGAGCACAGGCCAGCTGTAATTGACTGGTCATCGCCGCGGCAGCTGCCGCAGTTGTCGGCTAAATGCAATTTAATTGCACCAAACACTGAAAACCACTCACAAAATTTGTAATAAGCCATATCCACGGCACACACACACACTCCATCAAAATCCATCAATAAATATTTCAAATCTAGCCCCAAATGAGGATTGAGCTCGGTCCTGTAATCTGCAGTATCCCGAAAAACCGTAAACCGAAAACAAAAAAATAAATCAGAGAAAATCCTCAGCTACAATAATATTTGTAAATCAAATTTTTCCACATTTTCCCGCATGCAGGTGTGCGTGTGTGTGCGTGTGTACGCACCCCTGAACAGCTCTAATTGAAAATGCAAATTACATTCGAACACGAAAATGCTCGTAATTATAAAACAAGAAAAAACAACTTCACGCCGGATGGCCGATGCTTTTAATACACTCTACAAGCGGGGAGTATTTTGCTTAAATAATTTAGCGGTCAGATGCAAAGGGCACCTGTGAAACTGAAGCTTGGCCAGCTAAATGCTGTTGTTGAACCGATCTCGAGGCTTAAAAAAGGGTATTACTGTGCCGCCTGCATGGGTTATTAGTTCAAAGAAAAAACAACAAACAAAAAGGCAAATAAAATGCAGGCCACACCATCGATTGCGTGGCTTACACACACATATTGTTTGTACAAAGATCACACACACCATTTTCCATGCCACACTGCCTGTACAACAGATGAAAGTTACCCATAAAAATACACATTTATTTCTCAAAAACCGTGCAGTGTATTAGCCCAGGACTAGCCACGACTTTAGGCTCATAAAGTTGCACCGAGAGGCTATCAGAATATATAATGGAAATAATACAAAACAAAGCCCGTCTAACACATGCCCATATGCATATGCATATGCCCTGCCGTAATATTCCATCTAGTATTTCTAGTAGTTCTGGCTTTGGTTCCTTGCATTTTGACAAATTGGCATGGGGCTGGTCGGCTATATAATTCATTACGAATGCAAACATTTGGTATGCACGCACTCGACATTTAAATGGAGTGTGCAACAAGCGACAAACGAACAAGCAAGTACCCTGGGAGCACGCTGAATATTAATGCTGAAAAGATCCTCAGCATTCGAATTTTAAATTTAAATTTAAAAAATTTGCCTACAAGCAGTGCATTTCTACCGGTAATGTCACTGCTTGAAAGCAGATCAAATCGGTAAGATAATTTCCCTTTTTTGATAAACTGCTTGCCCACAAGTTTATCATCCACATGTTTCCCCTGCACAAGTTGAACTGCTTGATCATTTAGCATCCACACGTTTCCCCTGCACTTGCTAACTGTTTACAACTGCTGCCCCTTCCACTGCTTTCTGCTGCTTTCATCATATAATTTCCCCTGCCACTGCTTACAACTAAACCGTTTTTTTTCGGAAATACTTCAATTATTTTTTTAGGGTATTCCGCTAACCGTATCCCCGCATCCGCATACGCAGTGGAGTGACCAAATAAAACAGCTTTCCAAATGTCAACGCAATATATTTATGCAAAATTGATTTGACAACAACATTTGCCCGAACAGCAGGAGCAGCGGGCACCACAAAATTGCATGGTAATGAATTACACCCAAATGTGAGCACAAATACACCCCGTACCCATTGAACCAACAATAATAATAATAGCCTGTTAATGACAAGGGTTTTGTGGACACCGAGCCACACCCACACCCAACCCCAACCCCAAATCATCTAAAAGAAGACTTGAACATAATAATTATGCCATTAACCAAATACATGCACATGTACATATGCATGCATGTGTGTATGTGTGTGTGTATGTTCTCCACATGTCCATCACAGCGCAGCATTTACCAACACTAACTCTTAGTATAAACTCAAGAGCCAAGCACAATTCGATTGTTATTTAATGAGAAACGAGAAATGCACTTTATGGGTCAAGTTCTGACTGTGGCAGAGATTAATTTTGGTGTTTTATATGGGCATTCCATGAGGCACAAGCACCACACGTGCGCCGTGCGGTTACAGCTGTGGCTGGTGCCAGCACCTGGCCGCTGTTTGCCATTGCACATGGTGCCACCCTCATGGGTCCGTCTCTGCTCATAAGTAGATCCCTCAGTGCCCAGTGACCAGTGACCAGTGCTGCTGCCTCCCTGTTGCTGTTTGTAGTTTGATTTAGATTGGCTACGGCAAGCAGGGCCACAAGAGACGAGCTGTGTGCTGCAGCCGGGAACATCAACGGAAGTTTAGCGTATTGCAAGTGGAGCATGGAAATCGTACACACACAGCCTGTGCCTGTGCCTGTGCCTGTCGCACATGGAAGGAGCAGTCGGAACATATGCAAATATATGCACATGTCGACATAAGAACATGCAAGCCGTCGCCGGCCACCAAATGAGGAGGCCAATGGAGTTGATGGAACCAACTAAGATGCCTTCATTCGACGCACAGCCACGACACAGCCCTGCCCTTAACTCGCTGAATAAACATCAGACTCCATCGGAATGGGCAGCTTCGTTTATGCGGAGTGAAAGTGAACAATTTAAATAAATGAAATTGCAGCTTTAGTTCTCAATTTATACCCTCAAAGTGTACGCTGAATAATTATTCATAGTTCGTGATAACGCGCAGCTTTCGTGTGAACATTGTGGGCACAGCAGACAGGCAGACAGGCAGGCGGGCAGACGGGCAGGCGGGCGGGCAGCTTCAGCCTTGAGGTCACTGCAGATGCGTGACGCGTGAAAATTCGTCAAATGCAGGCCAACTGACACTCACACACACACACCAGTGCTCCTCCTCCTGCTGTTGCGTTGCTTAAATATGCACAAAGAGCCACGCAAAAGCTCGACACGAAGTGTCTTGGCTTGGGCATGGCACTAACGAGGGCTGGGTTACGGATGCGTATCAACTGATTAAGCCAGACACAAGTCAAGGCAAGTGCAGCACCCAGGACTGCCTGTCATGGCCGCGAGCAGAGGCATCCATATGGTAACAAGCGCTTCAGTTCACGCCACTTGAACTGCAATTAAAAGTTCAAGTCCAGCTCGGAACTGGATTCAATTTTAATCGCATCGGAGCCACCGTTGCCAGCTTTCAACGGGTGGTGGGGGGGGAGGGATGGGCAACCCTTTTTTTGGATGCAACAACCCTTCACACATCAACTTTCACTTTCGCAACGTCATTTTCCCAGGAAGTTTTTGACAAGTTGTAACATTTGCATTTTCAAATTGAGTTTAAAAATAATAATTTTGTTTTGCAATAATTATCCTTCGCTCGCAAATCGAGAGCGTACAGGTGTAGGCCTTTGATTCAAATTTTCAGTAAGTTTTTCTGCAAGTCATTTACCCCGTTGTACTCAGATAACTTAGAAATCCGCCACAGTATTGGTTTAGCTGAGAAAATGCCACCCAAGAAACGCATTTGCAGGGACCACCAACTTCCGTTGGACGACGGGCCCGTGCCCGAGTACAAACGCCGTCCGACATATGTCCAAAATCAATTGCGCAAAATACGCCAGAGCTCTGCGCGCGTGCAGCCACCCGCAGCCGAGGAAAGTGTCACCACAGCTAGCCCAGAAGTCGCTGAGGATATTCGCAAGCCTGTGGCTACACAGCTATCACGGAAGGTTCTCAGACAAATTAATTGTAACACTAAAATGGATCCGGCTTTGTCGCGCTTACTTGCTGCTGCCGATATGACGACCGAGGAAATACGCGCCGAGCGCATCAACCAGACCAAGAAGGATCGCCTCAAGTATCTGATGGGGAAGGTCAATGCGGAGACCCCACCACCTTGGCATGAAGCCACAAACATTTGGTACGAAATCGTTCAACTGGAGAACAGCATCGACGAGTACAAGCAGAAAGTAGCCAAGTAGAAACAAGAATCAAACACCAAGGACTGTCAAACGACTTCCACAGCCACCAGATGTGAGCGCCAAGCACCAATTACCTGAGTGTAATACACACACTAAACACTAAACACTAAAGACTAATCACTAAACACTAAACAAATGTACACATAAATATTAGCAAATAATTGTAAAAGGTTTCATTGGTGTATTAGAGCCAAGCCAGCCCTATTATATTGCTCGGGAGTTGAAGCTCCGAGCGGGCGCTTTAGCTCTGAATTTGCATGTCTCTTTTTTCTTTTTGGTTGAAGTTACTTATGGTTTATGAGTAAGTGTTTGCTGCATTAGTTGTTGGCTCGAATGATACGAATGGTTTGGTTATGCCTCCATGGAACTGCGGCCAGTGTTTGCTCTGGTTCTTGCAGGTTTTTTCGCTGCTGCCAGAGCTACTTCCAGGCTGCTACTGTGGTCACGGGCTAAGGCTGTGCTGTTGCCAAATCGTTGCCATCCATCTGTAATTGTTGACAATATAAGCCACTTATATATCATATATTTCATTGAAGTAACTCAAAGGCAGAAAAGATACATTTGCGGGTTCATATTTGGTGTCTCTTCTGCTTAAGGAGTAGCTGCAGTCAGTGTCCCGCCCAACAGACGCGTACAAGTACGAGGTACGAGGTAGAAGTATAATTCTTATCCACATCAACAACCACATTCAGACGGACACACACACAAAACACATGTTTGTTGTGCGGCTTATCGCGGGTGCAGGCAGCGGCAAACAGGTCTCGCATTGTATGCCCTTACGCGCACAGGCAGCAAGCACTCCCTGCCATGCCAATCGAGTTGTGTGCGAGCAAAGAGCGGCCTTGCATTGATGTACCTCCTGTGGAGGGTAGCACAAAGAATCAGCCATAAAAGTAGAGCCCAGCAAGCGTCGTCTCACTCCTCAACTGGTCGAGATAGCAGCAACATCGACGACGACGAGAACAAAGAGCTGACAGAATGCCACGCCCAGTGCTGCTGATACATGGAGGAGCTGGGGAAATTCCGCAATCGCGCATCGCGGGCAAGTTCAAGGGCATCAAGGAGGCGCTGCGGTGTGCGTGGGGCAGCCTGGTGCCGGCCAGTGGCGAGGGCCAGGGCAGCGCCCTGGACGCTGTCGAGGCGGCCGTGCGCAGCATGGAGCTGGACGAGAACTTCAATGCGGGCTACGGCTCCTGCCTGAACACCGACGGGCAGGTGGAGATGGAGGCCAGCCTGATGGAGGGGCGAGACCTGCGCGCCGGCTGCGTCACTCTGCTGCGCGATGTCATGCACCCGATCACCGTGGCGCGTCGCCTGATGGAGAAGCAGCGACACACGTTCATCGGCGGCGAGGCGGCCCAGGAGCTGGCCCTGGCCACGGGCAGCGAGCGGCTGCCAGCGAACGCGCTGGTCACGGAGGGCGCCCGCTACACGCTGCAGCAGTTCAAGGAGCAGCTGGCCCAGGGCAAGGATCCCTTCTTCGCACGCACCGAGCTGGCCGCCGAGCAGAGGACCGACCCCAGCGGCGAGACGGTGGGCGCTGTGGCCATGGACCTGGATGGCCAAATTGCTGTCGCCACCTCCACCGGCGGCATCACGGGCAAGTGGCCCGGTCGCATTGGCGACACGCCCATCCTGGGCAGCGGCACCTACGCGGACAACGCCAGGGGCGGCGTCTCCTCCACCGGCCACGGCGAGACAATTATGCGCTACAATCTGGCCCAACGCATCCTCGCCGCCATCGAGCACAAGGGCATGTCCGCCCAGGCAGCCGCCGATCAGGAGTGCCGCGCGATGACCAAACGGCTCGGCGGCACAGGCGGCGCCATAGTTGTGGGCCCCGCCGGGGATCTGGGCATCAGCTTAACCTCGCAGCGCATGGCCTGGGGCTACATACAGGACGAGACCATCTTCTACGGCATCGATGGCCAAGTGGTACACCAGGAGCCGCTCGCATTAGGCACTTGAATGGTTCACATTTAATGGCTCAAACAATCGTCTAAAAAAGAAATCAAAATTACACGTGAATAAATTACTAAAGTTACGCCTCCCGAGGGAGCTAAGCAATACACAAAAAAAAATAAAATAAGTTCTACTATGATGAAGTAAATGGTGTCCCATAATTGCATTAAATTTTGTTCCATCTGCGGGCGGAATGGGTCCGCTTTGTGGCAGTCCCTCTCGTCTGCTACTGTCTATTAGCCACATAAGTTCTAGTTCTAGTTCTAGTTCTAGTTGTAGTTTTAGTTGAAGGTAAAGCTAAAGAGTGCACAGTTGAACGTCTTTGTTGTACAAGAAATCTCAACGTGAGGCAACGGCCTAGCCTAGGGGGCAGGACATAGATGGAGAGCGATAGAGAGCACCTGCGAGCGCTGTCAGCTAGCTGTGGACTGGGGCCTGGGGCGCCACGTCACGCTGCGATTCGTGGGCCTCGGTGAGGCCGTAACAGTGCTTGGCCAGCGCGTCGCGATATTTGTTCTCGTGCTCCACGGAGTGCGAGTTGGTGCGACACTTGACCAGGCACAGCTCAAAGTGATCCGCGACGCTGGCGTATATGTATTTGGGTGTGTGCGCAGACTGCAGCACCTGCTCGAGCAGCGGCTGCTTGTCGGGATGCAGGCAGCAGGACACGCAGTACTCGTACAGGCGGCAGCAGTTGGTTGTGGCGTTGCAGCTGCGGCAGCTGTAGTAGCCGATGCCGAGCATGTCCAGGTTGCAGCAGCCGCTGGGCAGCATCTGCTCGCGCAGGCACACAAAGCCGCGCTCGTCGGTGAGCAGCTGGCGGCCCTGCACCGAGTTGCGGCAGCGCAGCTCCGGATCCCGCGTCCGATTGATGTGCTGCTCCGGCGCCAGCACCTGTTGCGTCCAGAGGAGCGGCCGCGTGCGCTGCACCTCAAAGTCGTCATAGTGCAGACCACTAAAGGCGCCCTGTTGCGTCGAGAAATGTTCGTGATTAGCTTTCCCAGCGTCTAGACTCGTGTTTCTCAGTGCCACTCACCCGATCCAAGAGATTGCCCCAGATAATGCACACGAGCAGCAGCAGCACAAGGATTATGTAGATGATGCGTCGTCTCAGCAGGCGTGTAAGTGCGGCTGGCCACATCGTATGCTAGTGACCGCATCCCAGCAGCACAGCCAGCCCAGCCCCGCTACCAGAGTCAGAGGGCCCACTGTGACGCCGAATGTTCGGCTTGCTCCGCTTGCTGCTGTTCTGCGACAGCTCTCCACTGGCCCACAGCCTGCATGCGCATTGGGTTCACTTCTTCCGCCTCCTGTTTGTCCTGCTGATGCACGTGGTAATCGTCCTGTGTTCAAAACAATCAATTATTTATTTATTTAACGCGTCCCTTTGTTGCAACTGTAAACCAGTGTGACCGCGGATTTATCATTCAACCATGCCCCTTGAGCCTTATAAATATACCGTGATTTAGAGGAACATTGCTTGAAAATACTACACTGTTACCGATATACCATTACTCATGAATCGGACCATACAAAGCTCCCAGCCCGAAGACTATATGCTTATTCCATATATTATGTTTCACTTGCAATAAATTAATCATATATATGCTGTGGTAGCCTTTTAGATCATATACCTGCCAGTGTTGATTGTTTTGTCGATGCACAGGGCTAGCTGCAAGAAATATCGATACTTAAGTGCGATAGGCGGATCTAATCGCCGGTTTATGTTCAAAAAAACATTCATAATATTCTCTGAATCAGCTTGACCGGCCCCTCTTCTAACAGCAAACAAATCAATTGCGATTACATGTGCGTACTAAAATATTTCAATTTCAGAACTATCAAAATCGAGGAATGTAATTTCCGATAAATAGGGTCGAGTGGGTTAACAAACAAACTTCAACATCGGGCGGACATATCGGAGTTTAGCCCCAATTATGTTGTGAAGATGGAAGAACTGCCACCCCAAGCACTCCGAGCACATTATAATATTTAATTATGTGTTCGTTCCCTCTCCCTTTCAGAAAAAAATACAATTTTTTTTTTTAATTATCAGTTAATATACATACTTGTCTCTTTTAATAATTTACATACATTTACATACTGAAGACAAAGCTCATGAGGGAGGGTTTTGAATGAAAAATTTAAATACAACTTTGTAAAATATAAGGTCATAAGGCATACAATCCAATAACAATGAGTATTTATACTTTCTATTTACTATTTATCAAATATAACATCAAAATCGAGGAATTTGCTGTAAGACTACGGTATTTTGTACGGTATATTTTGAAAATGAAAGAGTTTTCGAGGCCCGACGGTATATTTTATCGATAATTTTGCGGTCACGCTGTTTATAAAAATGCATGGAGGATTGAAATTCCGGGTGTAATTTACCTTGCAACCCTGTAATTTTTGTGACGTTTTACATGTGGTCGACACCTTAAATTATCCCACAAAATGTCACAGAAGCTCGCTTTTTAAAGCTCAATAGTACAAACAAATTTTTCGAGCTGTGTCGGTGCTTGGTGCTGCTGCGGTTGTTTTCATTTGTGAATCTTAAAAGCAGAACTGTGTGTGCCGACTGTGCCGACTGTGTGTGTGTGTGTGTGTGGTCGAGGTAGAGAGAAAAAAAGTAGAGAATAGGCATCGCTGAGATCGAAGAAACCCAGTTTGAATCGATGCGAAAACCACAAATACGAAGAAACCATTTACAACAGTACTGAAGGCGTGCGTGTAACGGGCAGCAACAGTAAATTGAAACGTAACCTCTTCGGCCCTCACATAATAGCCCCCCCCCCCCACACACTGCCTTTAACCGCATCGCTTCGCATTGCGCATTACGTTACGGCAACGGTTACGTCGTGCGTGCCTGCCTCTCGTCTTTCTGTGCCGCGGTGCGTGTGTGTGTGTGTGTGTGCGTAAGGTGTGGTGTATATAGAAAATCGATTGCAATTGAACCAACGCCGCAGTCGCCGTAGCAGCAGCCGCGTGTGCCGTTAGGATTTTTTCCATTACTAAAAATCGTGCGCGGTGCTGGGTTTTTTTTTTAGTTTGATTAATCCCGCGCCACAGTTTTCTGCAACATATCAGATTATTGTTTTACAATTTTTTTGCTTGTGCCACCCGCTATTCGGTGATTGCGTGTGTGTGTGTGTGTGTGTGTGTGCGTTTAAAGGAGAAAGAGAAGCAGCAAGAACGTAAAGTACGTACACTTCATCGCTCTCTCTCCTAACTTCGTTCCGGATCAAAAATGGATAAGCCAACAACAAAAACCACAACGAACACCGCGCCGTCTGATGCACAGAATGAGGCAACAGCAGCAGCGGCAACACAGCCAAATGCTGGGTGTGGCAGCACCACCACCACCAACAAGAGTAACATCAGTGGCACAACCACAACTAACGGCACCAGCAGCAACTGTAATGGGAATAGGAGCCACAGCAACGGCGTCGCCTTGCAGCGTTTATCATCATCGACAACAACAAGTGTAAATGGAATCGCCACAAGCAACGGCAACGGAAGTGGCTCCTCCACAAACGGTGGCATGTTGATTAACCTCAATATCAGCACCACCACCGGCGGCAACTTTGCCGTCAGTGTGGAGCCCCACATAAACGTGGAGAGCCTCAAGAAGATCATCGCCAAAAAGGTGAAGGTGGCAAAGGATCGCATATGTCTGCTTCATCGTGAAAAGTGAGTAGTAATGATCCGCCACTAATAAGGTTTTCAAAGTCAAATCCAAACCCACTTTAACCATTTCCCAAACCCATTTCTAAACTACTTTAACCCTTCTGCGACTCGTAAGGCCCCGCCATGGATTCTTCTTCGCTTCTATTCTGTCCACCGCTGTTTTTTCAGAGGTTATTTTTTGTTTCTGCTATACAGATGCAGTGACTGCCTTTGATTATCGTTTATTTGTGCTCTCTCTCTCTCTCTCTCTCTCTCTCTCTCTCTCTCTATCTGTCCCTCTTCTCTCTGCCTAACCTGCCTCTGCTCTGTCCTTTTCGTTCTTTGTGTAGTGCCTCTCTTCTGCTCGTTCCGGTTATTATTATTATTATTGATATAACCTCCAAAAATCCACTAAAAAAGAAACAAAAGAAAAACATTTGAAGGGTTAAGTATCATAAGAGGGGCTTGCAGGGGAATTGTGCAGTGCAAATTGATCTACACACACACACATAAGAGAGAGACAAACATAGGCAATGCGATTTCATAATCAATTTGTTGCTTAGTCAAAACAACGCAAATGAAAGAGAGAGAGACAGTGATGAAGAGTGGTGAAAAATAACAACAATAAAAGGGGGAAAAATGTGCGGCACATAACACGAAACCGGCAAAAAAAAATAAAAAAAATTAATCAAACAAAAACAGAAAATGCAAAGCGAGTCGAGTCGGTCGGCGTGAGTGTGTGTGTGTTGGCCGTGTATGTGTTAAGGAAGAGAGCGGGCGGAGAATGAGAGAAGCAGCCATAGTAGGAGCACCAGCGTGCCGCCAACTAGTTGAATGGGGGAAGCAGTGCTACTGTTAAAGCCTGCTGTTAAGTGTAGTTGTTACAGTTACAGTTATAGTTTCTCCTCCTCATTTTTGTTGTCCCCTTAAGAAATATGTATTCCTAATCAGCATCAAAATTGGAGTTCTCTCGTTTTCTATTGCAATTTTCTCAGCATAGCAATGAGTGCAACAGTTACTTGCACACTTGCATGGCTTTCTCTCTTTCTTCCTGTGTGGTATTCATTCCGCTTCCTGTTAAGCGCTACTATTATTGTCTGCAGGCCTGCCTGTTAATGCCTATTTCTGTTAGTGGTCTGTGAATAGGCACTGCTATTTCTAGCTCTTCGCCCGGGTGTGTATGTGTGTGTCCTCGCGCATTACAGTGGCTTCTTTTTCAGTCTCTTTGCATGCGGGTTTCTGCCTGTCTCCTCCGTCACACGAGACCGACAACTGTACTCGGACATTGTGCATCAGTCTCCCTAACTCCCCTTCCTCACATCATTTGTATTTTCAGCGAATACATAGATTTCTAATTGAGAAATATGTATGTATGTATGTATGTACTTTAGTCCTCCCTGCCTCTGTACATTATCTTGCCTTTGTGTGCTGTTGCTACTTCTGCAACAAAATCAGAAAACTTGACTGATAAGAATTTGTGCTTCTTTCTCGCTTCATCTCTTCTGTGGTGGTGTTCATCTGCTTCTTCTTTGTGCACTGATTCTGTAGCTTCTTTACTTGCTTTGCGCTGATGCCTTTCTTTCTCTGTCTGTCTGTCTGTTGTTGCATCTGTTTTATGCCACTTTACAGCAAACAACAAAAGCAAAATGGGCAATGGCGTCACGGTTGCTTCTGCTTCTCCTCTCTCTTCATCTTCTTCCACTTGAAGTTCCCTTCGTTGTTCATCTTTTAATGCTCCCTGCCAGCGTCGGCTTGGGCAGCGCTGCTAACCGGCGCGCCAGCCACATGTGTATGTGTATGTGTGTGCGTGGTGTGTTTTCTATACGGTCTGTGGAGGAGATTTTTTGTGCCTTTGTTCTTGGTCTCTCCCTTCCTCTTCATCAGCTTTTGCTGCTGCCTCATAATGATGCTGTGGACCGACCGACCGACCGACAGGCTGCGCTTATCGGACACAGAGGCAAACGGACTTGGGCTTCTCTTTGTTTGAATGTCACACACACACCACACACCACACACACACACCACACACACACACACCACACACACACACACACACACACACACATGCATCGTTAACCCGTAGATGAGAGGCAGCCATAGAGATGCCACCCCCGCATGGCATAGGACTGATAACAGCAAAAAAAAAAAAAGGAAGACCCACCACCACCAGAGCGAAAGCAGCAAAGAAACAAGGCTTTCGGTGAAAGCTTATTCACACCACCAATGCGCCACCACACCATGACAGCATTGCCATTGCCACTGCCACCAACAGCCCAGAAAAACCCTCATTTAACCACCAGCTAGAAGACGTGCAGAAACTTGGTGAAACAACTAGCCAACAAATGAAGACAATGTGGCACTGTGGCACACATGAATGAATGGGAATTTCTCTGCGAGGAGGCTTCATTTATTATAAACTCACCACCGACCGAAACTCAAACACCATCGAAGCCAAAGCCCAACCCAACAGAAACAAAAAACCAAACCCAAAATGAAAACTCAGCCTAAACCAACCCAAACAATCCTCATGATTATTGCCATGTGGGAAGAGAAGAAAGAAATGAAGAAGTGAGAACAGAAAATGAAAGAACTAACAGAGAACGGAATGAGAGATAATTAACAGAATGATAAAAGAGGCAATGATCTATTCCATAAACAACCCTTTAACACACATGCTGGAAAAAGGCAACATAGTAGAAATAAACAGAATGTCTTTACTACTAGTACTTTAATTAAAAACCATATTCAAAGTTATTCTGCAACAACATTTTACCAGTTCGATTTAAGCTTAAGCGTAACTACTTTTTTGTACATATGTATGCATTGTGTTTATACTGCACATTGCATAGAGGAGGAAATACCATATCAGAACAAAAAAAATTCTTATAGATTAGATTTGCTTGCTATCAGCCTCGCCCTCGCCCTCGCCCCGTGTACCGTACCATACCCGAACAGAGCAGCTAGGTATGTGTGTATGTACCTCTACCGTGTACTCGCCGAGTACTTTGTGCGGCGCACTCTGCTCTCAAGGTGTAGTATGCTGTGTTGTGGTGTGTGTGTGTGTGCGCTGTTCCAGCTATGACATAAGGCAAAGGCGCCCCACATGTCACCTTAGGGTTCTTCAGATAGAGATATGTGTACGTTTTATTGTGTGTGGAACAAATCAGCACAGGCACAGCGCACACGCTATACAGTGTCTACAGTCGGCGCTCTGTTTTGGCTTGGCCCTGGGATCGCCGCCGTTGGTTCTGGTTGCCGCTGCTTTTATTATCAACCGTTTTAATTTTAGTACGGGTGATTTTCTTCCAATTTTGATTCTGCTTCTGCTCTGGCTAGAATCTGCGGAAAACCTTTGAAGTTTTTTGTTGATCTTATATTTTTCCTTCCTTTACCCATTCGGTTTATTTTGAAGGGTATCATCTGAACCTGAACCACACTGCAAAAGGAGAAGACCGATGTTTGTAGTGGAGTACGGGTATGAGGGAACGGTCGGCACTTGGTGGTCGGGTCGGGTCTGTCTCCTCTTCCACTTCAGCCACTGCCCTCTGCGACGTCATCAGTTAGCAGCGCGTGTATTTATTTTTTCTCTTTTCTGCTTTGCTTTTCTCTTACTTCTCTCTGCCTGTGTGTTAGTGTGCGGTGGTGAGTTTTGCCGAGTGTTGGGTTTCGTGGTAGTTTTTTATTTTGGTTTTTGGTGAAGCGCAGAGCACAGCCCGCTCCATCACTGGACACCACGTTTTTTCAGAGGGCTCCCCCCAAAAACTTTCAGAATCCGACAGGTTACCACCCGTCCATGCCATCCAGGCTTTCGTTCATTAAGAGAGCTCCATTCGTGTCCGTTTCCTCACCTTTAGGGTGTAAAAAAAATAGTTGCTGCGTAGTAATTATTTTTTGTTTAGTCTGTTTATATTTTGCGTTGTTTGCCGTTGATTAGACAGCAGAGCAGTCGCCGTCGCAGTCGCGACTCGTGCGAGATCTTGTTTGGGAAGCGTGCCCGAGACGAGTCGATGCTTTGTTCTGCTGGTATCCTGCTATCTCACTCTATCAATCTCTAGTCGGATAGAGAGCGGGTGAGAGAGAGAGAGAGCTTGAGTGAAGATCAGGTTACACAAGACATAAGCGGCGGCCTGGGTTCTCTCTCCCTCTCGCAGCCTGCCTGCCCTTTTGGGCAAGATAGACAGAAAGAGAGAGGTTCATACCCTGCACTATATTTCACGCTTCTCTCTCTTTCTCAATATGCTTGTACGTGAAAACTCGTTTAGTTTCTGGGAAAGTAACACCAGTCTGTCTTTTGGAAGAGTGGATGGGGGGTGGGGAGGCTCACTGAAGCCATCACCTGCTGCCCTTGCTTCTGCCTTCTGTACCCCGCTATCCAATCCATCGCTTTGCCTGCCAATTTTCAAGCCCCACAAGTGGTGCCCACAGCCCCTTTCGCTTCTCCAATGCACTATTCTGAAAGGGTCGTCCATCATTTGTTTATGGCTGCCCTCCAGGCTTTCATTTTAGCCATGGCTTCGTGGGGCGCTAGGTGGCGCCACGCCCCAATTGGTGATGGGTCTCTGCTGCTTGCCTGATGGTACTGCTTAATACCCTGCATTTGCATGCATACCAAGAAATAAAGTAAATGCAACTCTTTATTCAGAGACTCCTTACACTGCTCGACCTATTGCACATTGAATTTATATTACTGCTTGCATTGTCCATTCCAATGAGGAGTCTGTGTCTCAACATATGTTTCTTTTTCCACCCATTGAGTTTTTAGAATAAATCTATCTTGGTTTAGGGACAGGGATAGATGCTTTCCACATCCATCGCATGTTGCAACAAAGTTGCCAAAAGCAGCGCTGCCTGTCAGCCGCAGCAGACGCTACACATTAAAAATAGAAAGCAGCAAGAGAGAGAGAAGGAGAGCAGAATATGGTTTGAATGGTGAATGGAATTGGGAATGGGATGGAAATGGTGGGAGTGGGTTCAGAGTGGGTGGTTGCTCTGCTTCTGCTGATGGACTGCTTCTAACGGGGGGC